ACAGAGAGCTTCTTAAAGACAGGTCCAAGAGTTTTCTTTTTTGTACATCTATCCAGTACAGACAAGACGAATTTAACTTTACTAAAGCCATTTCTTTTTCTTTCTTTCTTTCTTTTTAGAGGCAGGTCCTCGCTATTTTCTCAGACTGGTCTTGAATTCCTGGACTCAAGCCATCATCCTGCCTCAGCCTCCCAAAGTGTTAGGATTACAGGCCCGAGTCACTGCACCTGACCGTACTAAATATACTTCATTCTTTAAGTAAAACACTACTTTTCAATGAAACTTCAACAGCTTTTTGATGGTACTTCAAAAACATTAAAATATAATGATAAGATATAAACTATTTTTAAATTAATTCATATAAAACATTCATTCCTTAACTATTTTCTGGGTACCTGCTTTCTAAGATACAATTGGTAGATGTAAGCTATCAAAAATAATTCATCCCTCTAATAAATTAAGAATGGGACTGTACCCTCAAGGATTCATGACAAAAATGACAGGGAAGGAAAGGTAGACAGGCTTAAACTTCTCCTCCCCCTCCATTTTACAGATGAGGAAACTAAACCCCACAGAGGGGAAGTGACTAGTCTAAAGTCGCACATCAAGTTGCTAACAAAACCAAATTTAAAATGCAAATCCGCTGATTCACAATTTGATGTGATTTGTCTACATCATAACACTTTTTTCTACACTGTAAAGTTAACTAACAAAATAGAAGGTGCTATTTTATCATTAATAAATATTTCAGTTCTTTATTATATTGTATTAATAAGAAAAGTAATAGAATAAGTAAAGGGGGGCAGCTGGCAAGAAAAGCACACAACAAATTGGTAGGTAGTTATGCATGAAAACTATTTGCCACACTTCCTCAATTCCGAGATGCATCTGACTTTAAGACATAGTATCCATTTCACAAACATTTAAAGTAAATACAGACACTATAAAATACATCTTCATTTCAAAAAGTACTAAAATGTGAAAACATACATGTCTACAGTAAATGTAAAATGATGTACACTATTAAGACACACAAAAATGTTCATTTATTTAAAGGCAGTGTCACAAGGCATAAACACCCAGGGAAAAAGTCCCACCTTCTAAGGTAACAAAGAGTTACTAAATACCTAAGGTTATGTGGCATTTTCTTCAATTGTGGGTCTTAATATAAATCAGTCCTTCTTGCTACTTGTTTCATATGCATGAGTTCTGCAGCTAGATAAAGCAAAATTTGAAATCCAGCTCTGCCACTTAGTTCTCCAACCTTACAAAGTTACTAACTTCTCTGAGCCTCATTCTCCTCATCTGTAAAATGGGATACACATTTGAGGATTATTTGAGAATTAAATGTGATCATTAAGGAAGATGGTACAGTGCCTAGATGAAATAGGAATCACAATAATGTCGTTTCCTCCCACAACTGCTATAGGTCAAATGAAATTAAACTAAATTAAATTAAACTAAAAACTAGATTAATTTGCACCACTTCTTTCCTCTCTGTTTAGAAGACTTCAATAAATCTGTACTGATCATAGGGCAAATTCTACTGGTTTGCTTGGGGAAATTATTTCATAAAAAAAGCTTATTTTCTTTAAATGTGTCTCTTCTTCAAATCGGAAGCAAGGATGAATTTGTGCTTAAGTTATACATAAATTATACATTATTAAGTTATACATAAATTATACATCAGTTATACATAAATTCAGCCTTTTCATCTGTCTTGCTGAAGTGAACCCCTAAGCCCATTACAAACCCACAGAAGAGAGGAACTACAGAACCAATGTGTAGGAGGAAGGAAAGGTTTAAGCTCAAAAGAAGCAGTTAAAATGACTCAATTCTATGAGTGGTTTGTTTTAACCTTAAATTCATTTATTAAACTCAAGAAAACAAATGTTCAGGGGAGCCAAGACTGTATCTCCATGATTCAGGGTGTGTTAGCAACCTGATCCCTGAGATTAAGCAAATGCCATCTTCCAGTATATACAGTTTCAGTTTCCACCCGTGACAACCCAGGCATTTCCAAGAAGGGAACATGCCTATCAAGGTGGCTCTTGTGGAGAAGGCACTGCAATGAGAATATATTTTCTCCTAACCCATGTTCAGACACGCTCACCCACTTACTCCCTCTCTATTAGGTCATTTCAGTTAAATGGCTGTCTCTCTAATTACAAAAGTAACGCTAATTTTTTTAAATTTGGAAAAATAAAAAAGTACAATCATGTTGAGCCACCCGTGATCTTTCTAACCAAAGATTTAAAATATTACAGGAGGCTATGTCCCTTGTTTCCTATGAATTTGACCATAATTGTGATCATACCAAATATTTAAATTTGTATAGAGTACTTGTCATTGAACATAATTAACTATCAGTCCATATACCAATAACTGCATTCCAGCTTTCTTGAGACTAAGTTCACATTACTTTTTTCCTTACTTAACACAATGGTTTCTTCTCAATCATTTTTCTTCTAAGTCTCTAGCCTACATTATTTTCTAGCTGACCACTTTCTCTTTCCTAAAACTCTATCCCAGGGTTCTCTAAATAGTATATTCCTCAGTACCTACAAAAATCTCCCCAGCTAATCTTTTTCCTTCTTTACTGGCTCTTCTATAAATTGACAATCTCTAAAAAATGGATCAGATCTGATCTTTGAATTTTCTTGTCAATTTTGAATCCTCAGCACTTAGTACAGCACCTGGCATCAACAGCTCAATTAATATTTACTAACTGATTTTTGCCAATCCTGATCCACCCCTTAATAGGTGTGACCTCAGGCAAGTTAAATCTCTTTGAATCTCATCTTGTTCAGCTATAAAATATAGATAATCACAAGAAAATGAGATGATACTGGAAAGCTCAAAACAGTGTCTGGCACAAAGTAACACCCAATAAACTTTGCTATTATCAACATAATCTAGTACAGGACTCAAAAATGTTTCTGATTATTGTATCTGATTGATCATCAAATCTAACTCTCAGTAATCTGGCTTACTTTCACTACACCTTATTATAACTATCAAAAATATTTTTGTGCTCTCTCCATTACTGCCTTTCCCCATCCATCATCAATTGTCCTAATTCTTCTCTCCTAGCTACCATACAGAATCATCATGTATCAGCTAAGTTGCAACATAGGCTTAATTGATTTCCATACCCCTAAATCTTCATTCAAACCTTCAATTCTGCTTAAAATTTTTCTTAACTTGTTATTCTTATCCACAGTTGTTTAAACTATGTCCCAACTACTGAAATGTCATCCTCATGTCTTCCAATAACCCATATCCCAACTCCTAGTTCAAATGATGGTTTTTTTCAGGAAACATTCCCTGATTAACTCCGTACCACTGAGATTACTTCTTTGCTCTGACTCACCTCAACACTCAGATACTCTGTTGAAATAATGTCCTCAAAATTGTTTCTGCATCCTAAAGAATGATCTATTCGTTACAATGCTTTGTAGATCCAGTTAACAAAGAAATGTTCTACACCACAAATATCCTTTGGTTCTGTCCTTGACATTATAACTCTTCATAATCCTCTTGTCCTATTCTACATACATAAATTATATCTCCCATTTAAAACCACTATTTACCTCTTCCCTGTCCCCAGTCTCTACCCCAACCTCTGTCAATACCTTACAAATAAAAATCACAAAAGTTCCGAACAGAAAGACAACAGCAGTGACACACACATACCATGTCTCTCCTGAGTGAAAAGAACTTTGAATCTATTTAGCTACAAAACTCCTCCCAAGGCTAAACACTTTCTCCACAGGCAAATGTGTAATCAAATGCCACCACATCAAAACAGTTGATCCTACAGAGTAACAGGATCGTACTTTTATGTTAATTTTCATTTGTGTTACTCTAAGAAGCCTTGCATCATTTTTATGCTATATTACACATACCCAACTAGACAGCTGAGAAACTCCCCTGTAGGGCAGACTTTCTGAATATCTTCTGATGTTGCCTTTAAACCAACACTCTTTTTTTTTAACATAGAGAACTAAGCCATTCCTCACTACCGTCCAATCAAAAGCAAACAATACGTATGCCATTACTTCTGAGAGGGTGAGTTTGTGTGCTGGTGAGGCAAAACAATTAGATGAACTGTCATGGGGGGGTGGGGGGAAGGAGGCACCGTCAGCCTCAGCAGTGAGAATTGACAAGTCTGAGTGCCTGGCCCTCGGGGGGTAGTGAATGACCCTAGGACTCTAACCCCTACCTGAGACATTCCACTCTCCCGACACTGCCGAAACGGACAGTTAGCTGTCCTTGGTCAACTACTCGTAAAAGAGTCGCGGCTTTCAGCTACCACCCATAAATCTTTCCCGTGACTCCCTATAGACTTTCTCCTGACATATAACGCCTTCTAGTCGAACAGCCTCCAGCCACACCTCACTCAAAACCTTCTCCAGTCACCTTCCGGTTTCAGTGGGTGCTTCTTACTCCAGATCCACGTGTCCCCGTTTGTCCAGAGACCTTCACCTTCAAAACGCAAACCTGTCCTCCCTTCACTCCCAGCTGATCTCCCCCCCAACCCCTCTCCATGCCTGCTTCCAAGAGGCCAACCACACTCCCCGGCCCGCGCCTTCTCCCTGGGCACCTTTTTCTGAGCATCACCCATTTCCCATCACTTTCTTCCACCCCAGACCCGAATCCTTCCATCACAGGCCTCCCTTCGCTCCCTCTGGCACGCGAGCCGGCTCCCCCGTTAACCACCCCTGCCCCACCTTCGCCACCTCAACGCGGCCTCCCACCCCAGGCGGCGCCCCGGGGCTCCGCGGCTGCACACCAGGCCCCTCCCTGCGTCCCCTCGCGGTCCCGGCCCTCCGGAGGGCGGCAGCGGGGACAAGCCGCGCAGAGACCACCTAGGCTACG